CACTTCTTGACTCGCTGCTGCCAATGTGTGGTGAGAAATGGGTCATAGCAGCTCCCAGCCTCCTTGAGGCTGGGTGGAGTTCCCTGGGGCCACTGCTCAGTCACCTGAGGTACCAAACACCTCCATGGCCTTTATTTTGAAGTGGTTTAGGGGTGTTATCCAGGGGTTTTTCTCTGACCCACTGGACAGAAGAAGGTCAACTTTGGCAACAACTGTGGAGTCATGCTACCAGGTGCTGTGGTCTGACTCAGTAAGACTGGTTAATGGCACCCTGGCCCGGTTCAGAATTTCCTCAGGCCTTCCTGCCCCAATGGGTTCTCAGCCTCACCATGCCCTGACCCTGCCTCCTTCTGACTCGGACCTTTGCCAAACACATTTTGGATTTTTTTTTTTCCTTAAAGAGCTGGAAGAGAGTTTTATGGGGGATGCATGAGAACCCAGGGATGATTCTAGAAGGAAAATGTGGGACCATTTGTAATGTGTGGGGGTAGTGGATGGGAGGAGGAAAAAAGGGAAAATGTTAAGAAATATCATTGACACAGTCATCTTGGAGAAGAATTAAGTCATTGGCAGAGCTGAACGCCCTCCCACCAGGGAGTTACAGTTCTAAGAATATAGTCTGGGGAGTTCAAACACATGTGCACCTGGAGATGTTTCCAAGGATGTCCACCCAAGCACTGATTGTGACCACAGAAAGTTGGCCCCATCAGTTGGGGGGGGGGGGATAACTAGTGCTCTTGTGTAAGGCATTCACCACTGACCCACAGCCACCTAGAGGCCACAATGCAATGAGTGACACTCAACATGGGACAGCAAGCAAACAAGTTGAATAGGCTCTTACATTTTTTTCATTTATGTTTGCCTTTAATCCCAGTACTTGGGAGGCAGAGGCAGGTGGATCTCTGAGTTTGAGGCTAGCCTGGTCTACAGAGGGAGTTCTACATAGAGAAACCCTGTCTCAAAAAACAAAGACAAACAAATAAAAAGGCAACCAAGGATGTGGTGTTGTTGCTATTTGTATCTACGCAGCTTAGGCTGGCTTTAAATTCCTGATCCTCTTGTCTTTGCCTCCTAAGCAGATTGATTATAGGCCTGGACTGTTATACTCTATAGATTTTTTTTTTAAATAAAAAAATCTGTGTTGGGAAGATGTTCAGTTGAAGTGTTTGGCATCCGTGCATGAGGTCCTGAGTTTAATCCCAGCACCCACATAAAAAGTGGTAAACACTTGTAGACCCAACACTGGGAAGACAGAGATAGGCAGATCTCTGAGGCTCACTTGTTAGCCACTTTAGTCTAATTGATGAGCTCTGGATTCCAGTGAGAGACCCTGTCTCAAACAACAAGGTACAGCTAGTGAGATGGCTCAGCAGGTAGCGGCACTTGCTGCCAAACCCGATGGCCTGCGTTCAATCCCTTGGACCCACAAATTGGAAGTCAAAAACCCATTTTCAAAGATTGTTCTCTGACCTCCACATGTGTGCTGTGATATGGCAATCACATATATACCACCAGATCTATACATACACATAGATAACCAAATGCAACAACAACCGTAACAAAAAAAGCAGGTGGGAAGTACCTGAAGAAGATTGACTTCTGCCCCTGCCACTGAGACACATGTAGACATAGACACAGACCACACACACACACACACACACACACACACACACAGAGAGAGAGAGAGAGAGAGAGAGAGAGAGAGAGAGAGAGAGAGAGAGAGAGAGAATCCCAAAGCTACATAATATATCTTTTGTGGCTATTTGTATGTGTGATAAAAGTCTAGCACCTTGGAGAAGAAAGATGAACTCCAAGTCCTTCTGTCAGTTAGGGTAAGTTAAGTCCATTCAGCTATGAAAACAATGTCCAGCACCACAGAGGCTGTGACAGCTATTTCTTGATTGTGTCCATATGTATCCATGAGAGGTCAACAGAGTTTTGCTTGATGCCTCCTCCCTCTGGGACTAAATTGACCAGCAGCCATTAGCTGAGCTGCCACAGCAGAGGGACGGAGAGCCTAGCAGGTTGCCCATCTCTCTCAGCTTCATGTAAGCCAAGGAAAAATATGTGGCCAAAGCCCTTTACAGAATTAGGCCAAGAGTTATTCTGTTCCGTGCCCCAAATGAGAAGCAGCAATATTGACAACCCCACTCGAATAATGATGACCTCTGGGAAGAATAAAGAATATTGGGGACTCTCCTCCTTCATTACCTCAAGTGTGTAGTGCCCATGCTCTCTCTCCGAGGGGTGTGTGTGCGCATGCATGCATCCATGCATGTTCTGCATGGGTGCAGTCATGAGTATGCCATGGTACACAGAGAGATCAGAGGTCAACTTTGGATGTCTGTCCTCACTTTCTACCTTTGTTTGAAACAAGAGTCTCACTATGTAGCCCAGGCTACCCTGGAACTTGCTATGTAGACCAGGGTGGCCTTCAATTCACAGAGATCTCCCTGCCTCGGAGTTGTGGTTTGAAAGAACAACGTTCCCCAAAGCCTCATACATTTGAACACTTAGTCTCCTGTGGGTGATGCTGTTTGCGGAGACTTTGGAGATGTGTGGCCTTTTACTGGAGGAAGTACGCCCACTCTGAATTCTCCCAGATGTCCCTGCCCCTGGCTGTGCTCCCCCACATATCTACAACAAACCTTCTCCTCTCCCATACCTAGGAGCAGTCATGCTTCCTTTGTTTTATTTCATTCAGCAATAGCATTCCCTTTTCTTGTTCTAAAGGGAGAAAATACCTACCAAGTTTGTAATTCTTCAGATTGTATCTTTTAGCCATTTTAGTTTGGTTTGTTTGTTTATTTTTTGTTTTTGGAAACGGCCTTCTCTGTGTAGCTTTGGCTGTCCCAGAACTCACTCAGTAGACCAGGCTGGCCTCAAACTCACAGAGACCTGCTACCTCGACTTCTCAAGTGCTGGGACTAAAGGTGTGCACCACCACCACCCAACTAAAAAATGAGTAGCACAGGCTGGCCTAGAACTCCTGATCCTCCTCTCTCCTCCTCCTTCAGCAAATCCTACTGGCATGGACCACCCCAATCATAGTCTTTTTAAAATAGAAAGTGTAACTCTAGAATAGTGTTTCTCAACCTTCCCAATGCTGTGATCCTTTAATACAATTCCTCGTGTTGTGGTGGCCCCCAACCATAAGATCTCACTGTTAATTCATAACTGTAATTTTGCTACTGGTATGAACCGTAGCATAAATATCTGATATGTAGGACATCTGATATGTGATCCCCTGTAAAAGGGTCATTTGACTTCCAAAGGGTTCTCCACCCACAGGTTGAGAGGAAGATACACAGTAAGAGTAGGAAGTGTGTGTGTGTGTGTGTGTGTGTGTGTGTGTGTGTGTGTGTGTTCCTTTTGGGCCACACTTTTCTTGTGGTGTTCAGGAGGAGCACAAACCACTCCATTGTTTTCTTGTCACTCTTATCTGCAGAGCAGGCATCTTCCAGACCTCCAGAGCCTGCTGAGTGACAGCCTTGTGTGGGGCCCTGGGTGAGTCATTCCCTCTTACTGCAGCCACTATTCTCCTGAAGTGGCCTGCCTCACCTGTGTGTGCCCAGCTACGACCCTGACACAAGGCTAGTCTCTGGTCAGTGTCACAAGTGACCCTGATAAGAGCCACTTCAGGATAGAACCACATCTCCCTCCCTCTCTGGTCCTCTGGAGCAAGGAATGAATGTTTGTTGAATGAATGAATGACTACAGGTCCCCTCCTCTGGCCATTCAACAGACAGAAAACACTTGGTCTTTTTCTGTAGGTTCTCTGCATTGAACAGCCTCCAATTTCTATCTGCTGACACTGACTATATCTTCAGCCCCATGTGTGACTGCTAAGATGTCAAATTATCTGGGATTCCTGAAAGTTCCTCAGTTTCTGCATCTGAAGTCCTGTGTCCTAGATGGCTGGTCACCCCATAGTGGTCCCCCGAGATTTGATCTTCTTTCATCCTCATCTGGGGGCCTGGCTCTGCTCTCATCTCTGCATTTTTACCTAAGATTTCACAGACTCAGAGGAAAAGCATTACATCAATGAAGGCAGAGTCAACTTGGGACTTTTCGAAAGGTCTTTATTCTTTAGGAGACCTGGGGTCAACACTGACAGCCGAGCCTGGGTTCTAGTTGTTTGCTATTGTCTGGGGGGGGGAAAGAAAACGGGAGGTTAGACAAGGACAGAATAATTTAGTTAAGATTGCAAACTTTGGGCCTGCAGAGAACTGGGCTCAAGTGGAAATGGCCCAGCCTTGTCACTTGTTTGTTGTGTGTCCCTGGGAGAGTAACTTGATCACTCTGAGCCATAATTTCCTCATCTCTATAGGACAGGTAATAGTAGAAGTTGCCTCATGAGTCTTCATTTTTTTTTTTTTTTTTTGTTGTTGCTTTTTTGATTTTGAGTCAGGGTTTCTCTGCACAATAGTTCTGCCTGTCCTGGAACTGGCTTTATAGACCAGGCTGGCCTTGACTTCACTGAGGTCTGCCTGCCTCTGCCTCCCAAGCGCTGGGATTAAAGGTTGCACCACCACTTCCCAGCTTCATGGGTGTTCTTAATTGAGCTATTAACTAAGTTTTTTTTAGCACAGCGAATGTACAAATCACAGCCAGTACCACTATCAGGAAGAGCAGGAAGGTGTCTTGGACCACCTGTGTCCAGATGGTCTGCTCTGCACCCTCATTGAACCCAAGCATCCCCATCAAGGTTCTCATCGTCTTTTCCTTCTACCATTCATTTTCTCGTCTGTCTACCACCAAGTGGCTTATTGTTTGACATAACTCTCTGCCCTCCAAGACTAGCAATGACCTGGGCCAGGGGGATATGTCCCAATACCTGTTAGATTCTGGAAGTGCAGCCAAATCAAACATCCCCAAGCTCCCTAGAATGTCCCCAAAGGTGCCTTCCTGACCCCCCCCCCCCCACCATGAGCTTCAGGCTTTCCTCAGAGTGCAGATTCTCCTCTAAGTCCCTGGCAGGCTTCTGGTTCTTTAGTCACCTCACCTCTTGGATCCAGTCATTGAAGGCTGAGACACGGGTGAACACTGTGGGCTTCTTCTTGGTGTTGCAGCCCAAGGAAGAAACGAAGCTGGTCACACCATGGACCTGCCAGGTGCCATTCTCAGTGGGACAGTTGAGGGGTCCTCCAGAGTCACCCTGCAATGGTGAGAAAGATGGGGCTCAGCTGCGCCTGCAGGGTAAGGAGTGGGCTCTGAGCTCCAGGGACATCAAGAAGAGTTCACACTACTTCCTCTCTCTGGACACAGGTTTGCAAAGGAACAGGGGGGTCTACAAGATCATAGGGCAGTGGTTCTCAACCTGTGGGTCACAACCTTTTTGTTTCACATGTGTCCCATGTGTTACAATTCATAACAGAAGCAAAATTATAGTTATGAAGTAGCAACAAAAATAATTTTATGGCTGGGGGTCACCACAGCATGACGTGTTGTATTAAGGCACCATGGCATTAGGAAGGTTGAGAAGCACTGCCATAAGGGTTAATGAGACAATGCAAGATACCCGCACAACTAAGGGTTAATGAGACAATGCAAGATGCCCGCACAACACCCCAAGGAGGCAGTTCTCCAAAGGTGGTGCCCCTCCTTATCTTACCACATTTAATGTTTGGGGGTCTTGTTTGGTTTTGACTGTTGGAGACCCTGTGCTGCCCAGGCTGATCTTGAACTTGCGATCTAGGCTACCAGGCTGGGATGATAAGTATGTGCTGTCACAGCCAGTTACACACAATGAGAGCGTCCTGAATGTTTAGTTATCACTTCGAAGCCACAACTGATAAGGAGCGGCAATGCAGTTCAAATGGTAAAGTGTTTGCTTAGCATGCACAGAGCTGTGGGTTCCTTCTCTATTACTGCATCACACGGATGGAGTGGTAATGCCTGTAAGCCCATCACTAGGAGATGGACACAGGAGGATCAGAAATTCAAGGTCATTCTTGGCTACATAGTAAGTTTGAGTCCCAGCCTGTGATAGACCAGACTCTCAAAACAGTGATTAGGTGAGGTGGTGGTGGCATGCACTTTTAATCCTAGCACTGGGTGGATAGGTGGGGCAGAGGCAGTCAGATCTCTGTGAGTTCAAGACCAGCCTGGTTTTAGAGTGAATTCGAGGACAGCCAAGGCTACAGAGAGAAATCTTGTCACAAAAAAAAAAAAAAAAGCATGACTGGCAGAGGCAGATAATTGCTATGAGTTCGAGGCTAGCTTAGTCTACATAGTGAACTCGGTCAGTCAAGGCTACATTGTGAGACCCTGTCTTTAAAAAAAAAAAAACAGTGACAAAAAGGAGACGAGAGGAACCGGGACTCCTGTCAAGCCTGGTGGCAGCTAGGCTAGAATCCAGGCTACTGATGCCACCTCTGAAGTAAGCTGAGTCCCTTTACATCCCACCTGGCCTAGGGAGTGCATGAGGCAAACCAACAAGGCCTGTCCACCCAAGGGCAGATGGGGGGGGGACTTCAGGGCCCTGTGCATGAGCCACCCAGGCAGGTGTGAGCCTACTCACGTTGCAGCCAGACTGGATATCCCCGCCAGCACACACCATAGACCTTGACACGGAGAAGCCCCACCAGTCCCACCTGGAGCAGTGTGCATAGTCCACCACGGGCAGCAGGGCCTGCTGCAGCTTGTCAGGGAGAGGTCCTTTGGCTGGGGAGACAGAGAACACTGCCTGGGACGCTTGGGAGTTGTAGAGTGGGGGCCTTCAAAGGCACCATTAGCCTGGTAGAGACTATGGGGTCTTGCTGGATCTATGTCCTGTGGCATCCCCAGTACTGGGCACACAGTGGACACCCCAAAAATGTCCCACTGAACACATTTGTGTTTGGGAGGATCAAGGAGAAGGTGGAAGCTGGAGAGGAATGCCACACAGAACAAAGATGGTTCCCGCTGTGACCTTCTGTGCCACTTGTCTCTGTGGTCAAGTAAAAGAGTCAGCACGTACTATAAAGACGACCCCAGCCACTGATGTAGCAGGGTTCTCCGTTGGGGAGGATGTCACCAGCAGGAGGGAGGCAGGCAAGCTGGACTGTGTCTCCCAGCTGGGCGCTTCTTGAGAGCTTGACCAGGGCGATGTCATTGCTGAGGGGACATGGGAGTTACATGAAAGCAGGTCCTCCTTTAAGAGCCACAGCATGCACCCACTTTGCTCCTTGGATTCTGAATCCACTTATTGATTGATTTTTCTGGTGCTCCGGTTTGAACTCAGGGTCCTACATGTGCTAGGCACCCTAGCCCTTCCTAAGTCTGTTTGTTTTGTTTTGTTTTGCTTTTGAGATAGGGTGTCCTCACTATGTAGCCCTGGCTAGCCTATGTAGACTGGCCTGGCCCATAATTCAAAGAGATCCACCTGTTTCAGTGGATGAGATTAAAGGTGTATGTTACCACACCTGGTGTCAAAATCCAAACCCATTCTTAAGGTGGAACTGCTTTTGGAAAGCCTCATGGCCACTTTAACCTTGCTAACCCTTGTCATCTGTGGTCCTCATGATCTAGCTATGCTGCCTGGAAGGTTCAGGAACACACTTGCCCTCCTACTCCAGGCTGATGTCTGAGAGCCCACATTTCTGGCAGGTCCCCAGGGGATGCTGCTGCCACCCTGGGTACCACACTGTAAGTACCACCATACTCCATCTTGACTGCCCAGCTGCCACTCAAGTCATTTCACCGGAGTCTGATATAGCTCTCTGCTCATTCTGGGTTTCTAGCCAATGTGGGCTAGAGTCTCACCCACCACTCTTTTGTTATTGTCCTTGCAGCTACCAACAGTGTATGCCACCTGGGCCTAGGCAGCTGTCTCTGGGAGTGAGCTCTCAGTTCGCTTGATGCCTTGATGTACTAGAACCCCCAACTCCAGACCCGAGACTTCACTCACCCACAGCTCACACATTTGGGGTTCCATTTGGGGTGCACAAAGAGGCCGTCAGGGTTGATGGGGATCACCTGCTCTGGGCCCTCTTCCACGGCTCGATTGTACTCGCCCAGTACCACCTGGTAGGTTAAGGAACTCCTGTGGAGGAGCAGGGGTCAATTTGAGCCTATAGCCAACCTCAGCCCTCTCCTATTGTCCCAGCTGCCCAGGACTCATGCAGGTATAGTGGCGGGAGCAGAGACAGGGGGTAGAACTTACGAGATGCAGTGGCCTGCAGTCATAACCCAGTCAGGGGCAATAAGGGTGCCGCCACAGGTGTGGTGGAAACTCCCATCCTTCTCATACTGAAGGGAGATCTGGTGGTCAAGAAGAAAGGAGCTTGAGTGGCCTGCACCCATACCCTGGGAGCCAATGCCATTGTAGGTTGTGCACTGTACAACTCTAGAAGGTGCTATTCACGCAGGGGGGGAAATGGTACCCTCTGAAATATGTAGTGCACAACCTATGCAACTCCTCATGGGAATCGGTCACTTTTCCATTAGAATCACATTTCAATTTGCCAAAGCCTCCCCACCACAAGCTTTGTGATGTCTCTGGGGTCCACAACACTCTTTGCCCTCTCGGGCATCCACAGAATTTGTATTTCCTGAGGGTTCCTGAGGGTGCCCCATCAGGTCTCCCATTCTCCTGAACCTTAGCTCTTTCAAGGCCTCTTGGGCCTGCCAGGATGAGCTTCACCCAGAGTCCTCCTCGCCCTCTTCCCTACACATTCCGACTTGCAAAAGCTCCCCTCCAAAACTGGAAACGGTGGTCTATACCTGTGATTCCAGCCTCTGAGGAATAATGGCAGGAGGGCCAGAAGTCAGAGACTAGCTAAGGTTATATAAGACTGTCTCCCAAAAAACTGTTATTGAGCCAACCCCTTAAACATCACTCTTTCCCCGGATCCCACTTTTGCTCTGCCGCTGTCTCAACCAAGACTACAGATGGAGCAGTCACAACCTTCTAGAAATGCCTCTGTCCAAGGGCTTCAGGCCGTTTGAAGTCAAAGTGGGTTGTGGAGAGGAAACAGTGGTGTCAGGGCTGGCTGCTGTGTCATCAGGGCACACAGTGGAAGCGAGGGCAGCTGGTGGCACTCTTACCTGCCAGGGCCAGCTGTAAGGGACAGCATCTTCACCGTTGACCACACGGCTGGAAGGGTTGAAGGAGGGCCGGCCACAGCCTGAGGCTAGAGGAGGCAAGAGGGAAGCCAGTCAGCCAGAATGTCCTCAGAAGGGAAGAGGGGACTCAAGTGTGGTGGCGCACACCTTTAATCCCAGTGCTCGGGAGGCAGAGGCAAGTGGAATTCTGTGAGTTTGAGGCCAGCCTGGTCTACATAGTGAATTCCAGGTCAACCAGGGCTACATAGAGTACCTATCTAAAAAAGAAAAAGGAAGAGAAGAAAAAGAGAATGCTTTGTGACTTCAGGTGAATCCCTTCCCCTCTCTTAGACTTCAGTAGCCATGTATGAACTAGCATTCAAGCACTTAGACTACATCAGAGCTTCCCAGAGTCAGGGGAGGGCAGGGAGGGCCTCCTTTAGGTCAAGGACTAAAGACTTAGAACTGTGCCTGGTACCCAGGAAGCCGTCAAACTCAAAAGCTAAAAGGCCCTGAGTAGTGGATGTGACCCCAGCATTGAGGATCTGAGTCCAGAGGATCAACCACAGGTTTGAAGTCAGACAGGCTAACGGGGTGAAAATCAGCCCCCCTCCAAAGAAACAACCACGAAATGGGTCTGGCAAGATAGCTCAGTGAGGAAATGTACTTACCACTGAGGCTAATGACCCAAGGTTGATTCCTGGGATTCCCCCCCCACCCCCAAGAAAACTGATTCCTATGAGTTGTCCTTTGGTCTCCACATGAGTTCCATAACACACATGAACTCCACAATAAATAATTAATGTAATTAAAAAAAAAGTAGAAAGCTCCAGCTAAAAGTGATATGCTGGCTCATGCCTGCAATCCTTGTACTTGAAATACTGAGACAGGAGGATTGCTAGGAATTCAAGGAAAGGTTGACTGAACTATAACATGAGACTTTCTCACTTAAAAAACAAAAGTGACAGCTGTTGCTGTGGAGTGAAGGTGACACAAGGCTGCCTGGGTACAAAGCACAACTTGACTACTTCCTCAGAATGAGCTACTTCTCTGGAGCTCAGTCTCTACACGGGCTCCACACTGTGATGAGTTAATGAGGTTCTATAGGAAGGAAACCCCTTTGAATCCCGCCCAGCATCTAGCAAGCACTCAAGGTAATGCCAGCTGTCACCATTACAGTCAGACAAGGGAAGCTCTGTAGGCTGTTTAACAGAAGCATAAAAATTCCAGCTCAAGCCATCAAACCGTGGAGCCCAGACTTAAACCAGGAGGCTGCTCATTGTCCCTTCACAGGGTCTTCCGCTCTGTGCTCCCGACCTGGTTAATCCACAGCTTGTCCCCTCCTACCCCTGTCCCAGAACCAAGCTGAAGTCCCTACAGTCATGTCCCAGTTAAGCAGAGACCCTTTCCTGTAGAAGCAGGTATGGGGTGTCACCCAGGGACAACAGAGTGAGGGTCTTCCTTCAAAGGCTCCTAGGCTGATGCAACATGGAGCAGGGTGGCTTACCAAGGGCCACAAGCAGAAGGGAACTCAGCAAGCGGAGCATGGCGATGGGATGAGAAAGAAGGTAGAACCGGGCTCTAATATAGTGCAGGAGGCAGGTGGAGGGGACCAGGCCAGGCCCCACTCCCACAACAGGTGGCAGAACACCAGTTTTTCAGGGCCCAAGGCCACATGCCAACCACTACAGATTAAAGAATAGGAGCTGAGGGAAAGGCCCCAGGCTTCCTCCAACCTGTGACTGCACAGGTGGCACTGAACGGCCAGTTGATAAGACAGGACAGGCAAAAGGATTCTATGAGAGAGACCAGCCTCTGCCAGGGAAGACCAGAGCATGGCAGTTGGGCGGGCCTGGGTTCAGATCCTGGCTTTATGACCCTGGATGCTTGGTTTCACTACTGTGTGTCTCAGACTTCTGGTCTCTAAAGTGGGGTTAACATTCATACCCAGTGGTGGTGCATGCCTTTAGTCCAGCACTCGGGAGACAGAGGCAGGTGGATCTCTGTGAGTTCGAAGCCAGCCAGGTCTACAAAGTGAGTTACAGGATAGTCAGAGTATTTACACAGAGAAACCCTGTCTCAGGAAAAAGAAGAAGAAAAAAAAGACTGTTTTTTGACTACTTTCTCTAGTATATTAGGTGCTTTCTAAGGCTGTGAGCACAAATAACAATGGCCCCAGTCTGCCCAGAGCCTGTCTAGGGGTGACACAAAGATGAACCCACAAAAATTGTAAGAAGTTTTTCCACTAGCGAGAGTGGGTACTGTAGGAAAATGGAATGTGGTGCTTGGGAAGGGAAGAAGTAATTCATTTGCCTGGGAGGTGGGACAAAATGGCATTTTGACTAAGGAGGCAATATGTGACTGAGTCCTGAAGCCAGCTGTGGGTGGAAGGGAAGCAGTTCGCCTGGGCTTGGCTTGCCCACGACAAGGAGGGCCACGGTAGCCAGAGCTCACAGTCAAAGTGCAGCTGGGTGAGATGTCATGGTCTGGAACTCCAGTTGCTCTGAGGCTGAGGCAGGAGGATTCTGAGTTGGAAATCAACCAGGGCTGCCTAGCAAGCTCCTGTCTCAAAACAAAAATGAAAGAAGGCTGGAGGAAGAGAGGGGAGGAGGAAGAGGAGACAAGAAAGAAGAGATGAGGGGGGAAATGAGGGCGATTGGGGGGGGGAGGAGAAGGGTAAAAGAGGAAGCAGAGGGTTGTTAAAATGGCTCAGGTGTTGAAGGTGTCCATCAAGTCTGACAACCCTAACTGATACCCAGGACACACTCGGTAGAAGGAGAGAACCAGCTTCTGCATGTCGTCCTCTGACCTCCACACATGTGCTGTGGGACATGCAGCCGCCCTTACCATCCCCCACATACACAACGAAACTGTAATGAAAAGCTTCTGAAAACAGGAGCAGGGTGAGGATGCTGCCCAAGAAGCTGAAGATTGCCGCCTGCCATCTTTCTCCAGCACTCTGCACTTTATCTACACAGGCAGGGGGTGTTGCCAAACCCAGAGCTTGTGACTAGAACCCTCCCTCTGCCCTCTGAGCTGGGGTTACAGGCAGGCCACCAGGGCTGCCTGGCATTCATGCCTCAAAATGCCTTCCCTATGTAACCCTCTCCCCAGCCATTCTTCTCTGAAGCCACCCCTCCTCCCCCAGTTGGTGGGGACAGAATTCAGAGCCTCATGAATGCGAAACTGCAGAACTACCACAAAGCCACACACCAGCACAAGGCCAGTGTTTTGTTGTGTTTGCTTGTTTTTTGTTTTTCACAACCAGATTTCTCTATATAACTCTGGCTGTCCTAGAACTGGTTCTGTAGACCAGGCTGGCCTTGAACTCACAGAGATCTGCCTGCCTCTGCCTCCTGAGTGCTGGGATTAAAAGCATGTGCCACCGCCACCTGACTTAGGACCAGCATTCTATAATGGTTCCATGGCATGTGTGAATAAGGCAAGTCCTCATGATCCCTCATCACCTCTCCTGAGCATGAGTTCAGGCTCTCAGCATGTCTGAAGTCTTCCTCTGGCTCCTACAAATAGAAGCCAAGGGAGGGCCACACTTAGCTGTTCTAAGTAGACCCTTGATGAGAGAAGGTCTCCTGTGTGGCCAAGAGGGTTTTCTTCAAGTTACAGGTGCCTCCTGTTTATCATGCGAGAGAGATGCCTGCTACTCCAGTAGCCTAGGCCGTTGATCGGTTTGTGTACACAACAGAAACAGCTGTGAAAATCCTTCAAACTAGGATAAAAATAGCTGTGCCCTCCCTACTTCCTGTGGGCCTGGACATATTTGCTCAGCTTGGATGATCAGAGCCATTCCCCAGACTCTGCACTGGAGAAGGCGTTGGGAGGGGGGCACCCAGAAGAGAGTCAGGGAGGAGGGAGGGTCTTATAGCAGAGAGCTGGAAACAGACCTCTGTGTTCAACCCAGCTATCTGACAGATGGGACAGCAGCCCAGGAAAAAGCTAGGACTCAGTCAAGGTCCTCCGTGTTCCTAGCCAGATAGAAGCTAGTTCAAGGACACAGCAAGAGTTGAAACCCTCCCCCAAGTTCATACAGAAGGCTCTCTGGCCCTTATCCACAGAGCCTTGAGCAATGCTCCTCAAGGCACATGGCTCTAGGGCAGTGGGTCTCCGGAGATGGTCTCCCTGAGGTCAACTGTTCATTCCCACTGGGGCCAAGTGGGTATTCTTCTCAAAGCCGTGGGAAAGATACTGTTAGCTGTGCTGCTGATAAACCTCAGAGATCCTGGTACAGCAGTAGCAGAAGTCCTTGAAGTGGATTCCTCAAAGATTTGAAGAGGGAGCTGCAAAAGGAGAATGGAGGGTACCATCTGTGCCAGGCTGAAGAAAAGCGAGCCACTGCTTAAGTGGGCTTGGCAGGCTGGGTATAGCGGGGTGAGCTAGCAACCAGGATTTGGGGCTCGGCTTGACCTTGCATGTTTGTGATTCCAACAGTGGGGATGGTGAGGCAGGAAGATTGCCATGAGTTTGAGGATGGCTTAGAACTTAGAACACAGTGAGTTCTGGGTCAGCCTAAGACACTGTATGAGACCTGTGTTTGGAGGGGGCTGAGAAAGAGAGCTGAAGACATAATTTAACTAGAACACTTGCTAAGTACCTTCCCTAGCATGCATGAAGACCTGGTTCAATCCCCAGCATCATATGGTAGTTCACATCTGTAATGCCAGTACCCAGGAAGTGGAAACAGGAAGATCAGGAGTTCAAGGTCACCTTCAGCTGCATAGCATAGAAAGTTTCAACCTGACTTAAAAAAAAAAAAAAAAAAAAAAAGCGGGTCTGTCGAAGGAAGGACAATCAGGGAATCTAGTGGGCAGGGGCACATTGTCTTTAGTTCTCTCTGAGAAGGAAGGTCCAAGAGGGCCGGAACTGTCTGGTATCCCTCTTCAAATCCTCCTGCCCTTTAAATCCTCTGTGCCTAGCCGGACAGAACCCAGCACACAAACACTGTTCAACAGTATTTTCCAAAGAGAGGAAATGAATCAACAAAGCTAAAGGACCCTTCAGAGCCTCCTTGCCTTCCTCTGAAAGTGCCCTTGACTCTGTTGTTCATAAGGAACCTGTGGAGGTCCTGTGTGTCCTAGCAAAGCTGGTGTCAGTGTGTGGATGGCATCTGGAAGCATGACTGTCAGAGATAGGGGGCTTGCTTAAAGTTTCAGAAGCTGAGTCCATTATTATGTCAGCAGGCACGGCAGCAGCAGATGTGATACTGGAGAGGCAGCTATCATCCCGATCCACAAGCAGAAAGAGGCAGACTGCATCTGGCATGAAACTTCAAAGCCCACTCCCAGAAATACACTTCCTCCAACAAGGCCATACCTCCTAATCCTTCTAATCCTATCAAACAATTCTACTTCCGGGGCTGTTGAGATGGCTCAGCAGATAAAGGCGCTTGCTGCCAAACCTGATGACTTGAGTTCAATCCCTGGCACCCACATGGCAGAAGGAGACAAACTCTCAAAAGTTGTCCTCTGATTTTCACATGGGTGCTGTGGCACTTTAGCCTATACACACCCACTAAATAAGCCCTTTTTTTTTTTTTAAAAGTGCATCTGCATAAAAAAAGAAAGAAAGAAAGAAAAAGAAACAAATAAACAAAAAACTAATTTGTTTTTGAAAGTTCTGATGGTCTGAACAGGGTAGAATACACCTTAAATACCAGCACTCAGAAGGCAAGAGACAGGTGAATCTGCGAGTTCAAGGCCAGCCTGATTTATATCAGTTCCAACCCAACCCAGGCTACTTTAGTGAAACTGTCTGGAAAAAGAAAAGAAAGCTCCAATAGGATTGAGAAATAGGACAAAATTCAAATGATGTTTTCCTGCAGGATTTCTCGGAGCGTTTATTGTGCTGTGCTGAGTGAGTCATATATTTGGGAGGTTTATGCCCGGAAACTGCTGGTGTTATATTGCTCTTAGTTCTCCAGCTACCAGCCCCTCCCCTCCCAGATGAGCAGCCAGCCTTGGGGGGCAGGGTTAAGGACACCTAGGATTGAGTAAACACCCATCTATGACTTCTAGAACTGGGAGTTGCACAGGTGGCCCTTGTCCCAAGGAAGGCCTTGCCTCAGTGGGAACTGGAAGGGATTGTTGGGCAATGGGCAGAGCCTTTTTCCATAGCTGATGCCATGCCTTCTGGAGGCCTGACAGGGGTAGGGTGGAGGTAGAGGTTCACTTTCAGCAAATTCATGCTCCACAGATGTTTGTCAGGCTCGTGACAGAGGCCAGGGTGCTCCTGGTCACCCGGGTACTGCTGGGAAGAAAGGAAGATGTGGGGTGTTTCTCAACTCCCAGGGCTCTCCCAGCCCCTCTCCCAGAGGCCCTGACCCCATCTGCAGCAGTGGCTCTTTCTGTTTGGTTTGTTTTTTTTCGAGACAAGATTTCTCTGTATAGCTTTGGAGCCTATCCTGGAACTCTCGCTCTGTAGACCAAGCTGGTCTCAAACTCAGAGATCCACCTGCCTCTGCCTCCTAAGTGCTGGGATTAAAGGCATGCACCATCACCACCTGGCCACAACAGTCTCTTAATGTGTGGGCGGA